TTGGGGACCAGGACAGCAGTGTGGTTGCTGCACTCACCCTGCTGAGGGTGCTGGGTTCCTGGGCCTGTTGGGAAGGCTATGGTGCAGGGCCACAGGGCAGCATCCCTAGAGTCCCTAGGGTCCACCCCACATTGGTGACAGCCGGGCCCAGGGCCCACAGCCCATGATCCACTCCCAGAAGCAACCCCGTGGGCAGGACCACAAGCCATGTGAGGGGAGCCCGGGCAGCCCCTGAGCACCAGGGCTGCATGCTCCACAGAACCAGCAGGAGTAGGAGCAGGCAGCCCAAGGCAGGGCTGGAGACCCCGGCCTCTCTGTACTCTCCCCCACCTCACCCTTGCAGACTGGGCTCCCCCCCTTCCAACACCCTCTCCAATCACTCAGGCCCTGCCGCCTTGGCCCCCTCTAGACCTTGGGCACCAACAAGCTCTCGGAGGAAGCCAAGGCGGAGCTGAGGATGGCTTGGCGCTGGCCTGCAAGGTCCAGACCCCATGCTTGCTCTTACACACCCTTCACCTGACTCCAGTCTCCCTTGGAGGCATGGGATCAAGGCCAGTGGCATGAGCTGAGCGCAGCCTGCCAGGCCAAGTGGGCAAAATGAGCCCAGCGGCCCGAGCAAAGGTGCCACCGGCTACAGATATCTGGCCAGAAAAGCAACACTCCAAAATCTTGTAACACCACCGGCACCTCTCATGACCCCCAAGCCGGCCACGGTGCTATGAGCTCCCTCTCCGGCAATGGTGACCAGCCTCCCTCCGCCCTCTGCTCCAGGGGCCCCCAGCCCCACATGGCTCTGAGTCCACACCAGGCCTCGTCCCACTCTGCCTGTGTGTCTGGGCTTGAGTCCCAAGTGCCTGTCTGAAAACAGGTGGGCTCATTTTCTGCCATTTTCCGGTATGAAGGAACACAGAACTAGAAATCCAATTCTAAATGTGCTCCACGACCAGCACCCCGGGACCATGTGATGCCAAGGATTAGCACCATGCCCAAAGCTGAAGGATGCAGCCACCAATGGGCACCCGGCCGGCTGCCAGGCACTGGCGTTATACAGGCTCACTATGCCAGCTACAGCTGGCTGCACAGCAGGTGGCACTGAGTAGGGGGAGATGGGTGCTCACCCCGGCTTTGCCACAGGGCCCTTGCCACCCCCAGAGCAGGCACAGAGGAGCTCTAGCCCCTGACATGGGGTCCATGGGTGGCCACAACGCCTCTGCATGCACAGCCTGGCCCACAGCAAAGCTGAGCTCTGCTGGGGAGGTGCAGGGGTCTCAGAGAGCTGGGGCGGGGAGGGAACTCTGAGCCAGCCTCAGCCCTGACCCATGCCCTCCTTTTCCCGTGGGGTGCAGGGGGGTCTCAGGAAGCTGGGGCAAGGAGGTGACTTTAGGCCAGCCTCAGCCCTGCACCCATGCCCTCCTCCTCCCGTGGGGTACAGAGGTGTCTCAGAGAGCTGGGCTGGGTAGGGGACTGAGCCAGCCTCAGCCCTGCACCCATGGCCTCTTCCCAAGGCAGGAGACGAAGCCACAGCCAGCAGGCTGCAGAGCTCGGCGGGTCCCTCCCAGGATGCAGGGCCCACCTGTCATGGCAAGGCAGGCCCCAGGGCACAGGAACAGAACTGGGGGCAGATGTGGCTTCTGGGCCAGCTGGGATCCCAAGGGCTTGAAAGAAACATAGGAAAGATGCCATCAACTTGTTAGTCACAGGGAAAAACAAGCTCCACCACTTCCCACGGCCAGAGAGGGAGAGGAAGGGTGCAGATGGGCATGTGGGTGTCCACCGGGTGATGAGTCGCAGCCTGGACCCTCCCCTGAGCCACTCGGCTCCTTGGCCAGAGACACAGCATGCAGTGCTATTTCTGACTCAGCCCAGGGCAAGGATGAGGCATGTGGGAAGGTGGTGTCGCACTAATCTACGCAGACAGGCACCCACGGGCCGCCACCTCACCTCCACAGCCACGCGGGTCACTGAGAGGTGGCGGTCAAGTCACAGGATGCAGTATCTGTATGACATGGGCCTGCCCTGGGCCTAGGCCCCAGCACAAGCTGGAGGAGTGGGGGTGGGGACCTAGAGCACCAGCCAATCAGGAGCTGCGGTGACCACACCAAAAAAAATAACAAACCTGTTCCTGGAGAGAGAGGCATAAGGTGAGGAGGGGCCAAGATGCACAGGACCCACTGAGGCACCTGGATACCTTGGTGGCCCCAAGAAGAGGGGTTGGGGCCCCCAGACCAGGGCAAGCCCCTCCACCTGTGGAGCTGCTCCTCTGAGGGTCTGCAGGCCCCAGCCATGGAGCCAAGAACCCCTGCCACCCTGCCAAGCTGGCGCTTCACATCCCAGGGCAGGGGAAGTGGAGGCTTGTTCCTCTGCTTGAGCCCACTGTGAGGTCCGACGGTCCCCTTCATCCAGCCTGGGGCTCTTCAGTGCAGAGAAGCCACAGCAGGCGGTGGAAGGAATGTGCACGGGAACCCTGGGCTGAGAGCCACAGCCAGAGACAGCCGCTGGAGACCTTGCTCCAGGAGGGCTGTGATGGGGGCCTGGGTGACAAGCTCAGAACACCCCCCTCCACAGGACAGCCACCTAGAAAGCGCCTCAGGGACAACCTCCAAGGGACCATTTTGGAGGACCTTCTCCTGAATCCCTCAGGGGCACCAGGGCAGAAATCACAGTCACAGGCAGTGCATGAGGCCACTGGCTCCTGGCCAGAGCCACTAAGTGTAATCCCAGGCCAAGGCTCCTCCCCCGCACCCAAAACCCTGACCCTGCTCCGCGCTCAAATCATTTCCATCCTTGTGCCCCTCATAGTAGGCTATGGGAAACACGGCAAACACGAGCAGGGAGTGTCAGAACGGCCACACTAACGTCCAGTGTACCCAAGCTCAGGGCTGGGGAGCCCAGAACGGCCACGCTAACGTCCAGTGTACGCGAGCTCAGGGCTGAGGAGCCCAGAACGGCCACGCTAACGTCCGGTTAGTGTGCGCTTTTAAGGTTTTTATGCACAAATAACTATGTGAATTAAGAAAAAAAAATTCATTATCCAATGGATTCACAAAATTTTTTCAACTTATTATTCAATTATTTCAATAAAACATTTCTATGCTCTACTTTCATAACGTGGTTCTGAAATGTGAAATCAATCTTCAATACTGTAATGTTCAGGCTTCCACCCTCTCCCACCAGTGACTCTAAGTTAATGAGGTTTGAGCTTACAAAAAACAGAGGCCCGGGGTGGCTCAAAGGAGAGGCCACAGGGCTGCTCGGCGCGACCTCCGCCCAAGAGGCCAGATCTTGCTAAAGAGGAGTTTCCTGGTAGGCAAGAGGGGTCGTAAGGGTGACCTAAATTAGGCGGGGAAGCGGGGACGTGAGGGTCCGTGTAGCAGGTGACTTTAGGCACCAGATGAGCCACAGGGGTTTGAAGGGAGAGGGCTAAGAAAAGGCAGGGGAAAGAGGCCGCTGTGTGAAAGAGCTTGGAGAGGCTCAGGGCAGAGCCAGGTCAGTGAGACCCATGACTCCCCTCCCCTTGGGGGCAGCCTCAGAGGCCCTGTCGGCAGCCAGGGAGCGCATAGCTCAGGCAGACCACTCATGTCAACCCTTCCTGGCTGGAAGGCACAGCTCCTCTTTAAGTTAACTGGCCTGGTCGCATCACCAGGTCCTCCTTGGACAGAAGGTGCAGGAAACCAGCACTGGTTAAACGTGCCTGGATCCTTCCAGATGCACAGCAAAGCCCTCAGCATCTATGAGCTGTGTCTGTCGCCACTATGTGGACAACGAAACTAAGGGTCAGAGAGTGCCCCTGATCACACGACTTGTGCCCAAGGAATCAGGGCTGACACACCTCTGGGCAGGTGCGAAGCCCACCGTCGCCCGCCTTGCCGCCAGGCTGGCCTCGTTAACAGATGCAGAGCAGTCACCTCCACAGCCTTCACTGCACTGTTTCAAACGTTTCACATCAACTAACTCACCTCAACCTTGAAACTACCAGAACTTAGCAGGTGAATACTATTACCTTCTTTGACAGATGCAAAACCCTGGCCCAGAGCGATCAAATGTCCAGCCAGGGGCTACCGGGGTGAGGAGCAGAGCCCCGGAGCCCAGGCTCTTAACAGATGGCCCATCTTCACTGTCATGCGGTGCCTCAAGCTCTGCACCCACACACCAGGCCCTCTCCCTCCCCAGCCCGTGGCTCCCTGAGGCTATGAAGACATAAAAAGTATTCCTTGTGTCCCCCAACTCCTGTAGGTGAGTGAAGGAAGCTCTTTCCTGGATCTTTCCCTGCAGAGTGACTGGCCACCACCCTCCAGCCAGGGCAGCCAACACTGCTGGCGCTGACCACGGTGGCCTGGAACTCTCTGAAACACCTGACTCCGTAGGACAAGCAGGGGACTGTGTTCCCCGCTGCGCTCTGGACACTGGAGCAAGTGTGAGTTCCCAGACTCTCCCCGGCCAGGCTGCCGTGTGTGCTTCAGGGCTGCAAGGGGCACAAGCAAGAGACCAGGAAGGGAGGCTGTGCAAGCTCTGATGAAACTGACAGGACCCTGCCTGGGCTTCTGGATCTAAACCCTGAAGAGTTACCTGTACAAAGTGATAAAGAGCTTACCTTTGCAACACATAAAGCACTTGTTCAAGAAAAGTGATCGAAACTGCCCAAACAGACAGACAGATCATGAGAAAATCAGCACACACAGAGAAAACAGTTCAAACCCTGTTGGTCACCAAAGCAGCCCAAGCTCCTGTGGCTTCAATCTCCAGGCACAGTTTAGCCCATGCTGCTGCCAGGACCCAGGGCAGTTCCTGTGTAGCTGGGGAGACAAGATACAGCCCAGGGGCAAAACCACAGCTGCAATCTACTCTGGGGGATCACCCTGAGAAACAGCCAGGGGAACCCTTGCTCAAGGACAGTCAGGCACAGGTTAGCTGGAAAGTTGCAAAGACCTCAGCGTGTGAGTGAGTGATCCCAGATCTGCTGGGCATGAGCACGGCGACCCACACACTCCAGCCTGCCTCACCTCTCCTGACGGAAGTGACGCTCCTCACATCCAGCTCCAACCTCTGCACCAAGGCGCTGGGGTCTATCTTGGTCCTGGCAAAGATATTGGTGTCGACGAACGCCCAGTCCTAACGTCCCCAACAATAAAGGAAGGAAAGAAGAGGTGTGAGACTTGCTCTGTGGTTTCAGAGGGAAATTAAAGGTGAGGAGAAGATGGGAGACAAGAACCCAGATTCCCCAGCTTCTCTGCCCATGAGGACCTCAGGGAAATAACCCTCACCTCCCAGAGCACGAGCCTCCAGTCCCAGAGCTCCAGGGCAGACCTGCAAAGCCCAGGCCCACCTGCTCCCTGCCTTAAATCACCAGATGGGCTTCACTCCTGGTTCTTCAGGAGTCTGGATCAGTATCTCAAAAACCAAATTTCCTTCCCAACCATTTTGTCTTATTCTTTCTCCAACATTCTCCTGTGTCGCAGGAGAAACCCGAGCTGAGCAGATAAAGGACGTGCAGCTCGCAGGCTGCCAGCGCCTTCAGCGCCGACTGACTACATCCCACTGGAACCGCTCATCTCAGCGGCCTCTTTTCGAGTCTGCTTCTGAGCCACACTCATCCCTATGTGAAGATTTCAGATCCTCCAAGTCAGCTGCCAACCACACTGTGAGCAGACAGAAGCCCAGTCCCTGCTCCGTGCCGCCCGGCCCACTCAGGTGGAAGCCTCACTGATGTTGGCAGGGAAGGCAGCACCAACCACAACACAGGATTCTCAAGGGTGTCGGAGTACGCCACCCCAAAACATGTCACTTTGGCAAAGAATTATTTTGAGCTAAAGGCACTTAAAATATAGCAGGTGCCAAGAGGGCTCTTCAGCCCCTCCCTTTTTCCTGAAAGGAGATAAAAATCCCCACAAGGAAGATGCCCTCCTACACCAGAAGGAAAGTAACAATCTTATCATCAGGGACAGATCAGAGGAGCCAGGAGAACTCTGTACAGACACACCTGGTCACACGCCCACTCCCCTCCTGCAGCCTCTCAAGTGGTTTAGTTTTCTACAACTGCCTCTGTCAGCCTCTCACCCTCTCACAGAAGCACAAAGGTCCTCCCACTTCCTTGAGGCTGCATTTCCTTAGCAGGCTCCCATGTCACATAAAACTTCCGCAAATCTGTAAGCTTGTCTCCTGCTAATCTGTCTTACATGAGTCTGAATCTCAGGCTCAACCTAAAAACCCTGAAAGTGAAGGTAAAATATGGCCTCCCTCACATTAGAGGAAGAGACAGAAGGCAGCCAGGGTGCCAAGAGGGGCTGGGCTGGACTGCAGCTCCCCAGGCACCCTCACCCACAGCACCTGACGGAGAAGCCCTTGCTCTTGTCCCTATGTGGCAAGGACAGAAAGTCAGTACGTGGGAAAATATCAGACTTGCGGGGAAACAGTGCTGGAGACCACAGAAGCCTTCTTCACCTGGGCGGGCAGGTGGCTAAGGCAGTGCAGGTAGGCTGAGGTCTCACAGGCAAACAGGGATCAGGTGGGGACATGGGGTGGAGCGTGCAGCCTTCCAGATCATGAATGTATGGTGGCGTACAGCATACGACTGCTTTTCCCACCGTACCTGGGACGTTCTCCACAGCGGCACTTTACACCTCATTCATGCCTGTTTTTGGAGCTTAATATAAAAAATGCTGGTGTTACACCATTTGAATGTCTTTCAAGGATTACAATGCCATTATCTGATTAGATGCTGGAAATTCTGTCTATTCCATATTCAAGTTCAATAACTATATTTTCCAGATATAAAAGTTCTATCTCTTGCTTTTTTCTTCAAATTTGCCTAGTCTTTTTAAAGGCTTTTTGTTCATTTCTATGATTCCTGAATTATGTCTTCAACATTTTCAGGCTGGGCACGGTGGCTCACGCCTGTAATCCCAGCACTTTGGGAGGCTGAGGTGGGCAGATCATGAGGTCAAGAGATCGAAGGCTGGGCGCGGTGGCTCAAGCCTGTAATCCCAGCACTTTGGGAGGCCGAGGCGGGTGGATCACGAGGCCAAGAGATCGAGACCATCCTGGTCAATATGGTGAAACCCCGTCTCTACTAAAAATACAAAAAATTAGCTGGGCATGGTGG